CGCCACCGGGCTGGCCCTAAAGTACCCTCATATTTTTAAATCAAACTGCTACAGAGTCTAGAATTCCCTGCAACAAGTTAATTGCTTACTTCAGATTTCTATCCAAATGAGCCTGGCTGTGTCAGAGTAGCCCCTGTGATGGAACACATCAACAAAGGAGAGTCATCTGACAGGAAAAGTCACCAATGATAACTCATAAATGTCAAAGTGTCCACCCTTTAGAAAAAATCCAAACCTATTTGGACTAAAAATCAGCCCACATACCTCCATGACAGCAGAATATTTTTTCATCCACGATGGCTGCTATCGGCAAGCAGTTAAAACAGTCTGTGAAAGTTTTCCATAGTTTAATGTTGTATCTTCTTTTACCTGTGGAAATTTTAGGATGGTTTAAAAGAGATTACTTACTATTCCTCAGGTTCATTTTCTGAGGATGATTTCCCCAAAGCAAGGTTCTGATTACCTTTTAATGGGAACTATGCATTTACTAAAAATCTCCTGGAAGGGGATTAGGCAAATTGGATATACATGACACTTGAAGATGTCTATCAATAAGCAGCAAATTACATTTTCATATGAAATATTTAAAATTCTACAGAAGTATGAAATCAGAATTCCACATATAATAAAGATTAAGGATTACATCAAATCCCAACAATTATTTGTCAGCACCAACTGTTTGAAATCTAGTCTGTTTCGTCCAATCTCAAACTATAGGTAGCTCCCTATTTCTTTTTTCTTTTTTTTTGAGACCGGCCGCACCGCGCTCAGCCAGTGAGCGCTGTGAGCGAACCGGTCATCCCTATATAGGATCCGAACTCACGGCAGGAGCACTGCTGCGCTCCCAGTGCTGCACTCTCCCGAGTGCGCCACAGGCTCGGCCCAGTAGCTCCCTATTTCTAACGGCAATTATGAACAAGTTGTACATGTGCCATTACCATCTTCCTTCTGAGGAAACCTCTGAGAGTTAACTGCCATCCTGTTTCCAATAACCTACCAACACCAGATAACCTGCAACCCCTAAATATTCTAGCAGGTATCACAATTATGATAAGGGAATACAGGGGCCGGCCCGGTGGCGCACTGGATAAGTGCGCCGCT